GTGTGTGCAGGTATGTAGAAAAATAGGAAAGAACACGTTAGGTAAATAATCCGAGTTCTTTAGTATTTTGTTTTTATTTTAAAAACAGTGCTCCATACACAAGTAGAGCTTAAATTATAATTATTTAAAAAAATTTGATTTATATATATATATATATATATATATATATATATACTAAGCACAAAAAAATCTTGGGACCACGCTGTATTTTATTTATTAAATTTGTATTTATTAAAATAAAAGATAAAATTTCAGCAATTTCTGTAACTACAGTGTATTTGCTTTTATTTTTAAATCTTTCTCTAGGCTACACTCACTACCAAAATGTTCAAATTTGGATTCATCTGTTCACAATAAATTTTGCTACATTGTGAATATTTTGCGTGAAAAACATTATATGTTGTTTTCACCTCTAACCTCTCAATAGACGTTTTGAGATTATTAACATTTTCAACTAAGTTAAATATTGATACAAGTTCTAAATGTTAAACTCAGGACTGACTGATGTAAACAAAACCATATGTAGCTCTCTCTGTTTGATGAAATAAAGATTACGCCATTACAACAGTATTTTCATGGATATAAAAAAAAAATTAAAAACAATCAAAGCAACTGAGCATTGGAGTGAAGGTAAAAATTGTAATATAATTCAAAGAAGGCTCCTCTTAAAGACAAATTGCCAAAAAGTTGAATATTTTCTAAACATTGGGTTCAAATGTATTTAGAAACTGGTGCAAATGTTGACAGAAAAAAATAACTGGGGCCCCAAAAGTGACAACTTCTATTGAAGATAAACACTTGATTCTAGGGAGCAAATGATTATAGAGAAAGAAATTGCTCCAAAGTTAACAGCTGCAGTTAATTCCTCCCGACAGCAACTAGTGTTGCTCTCAGCTGTGAAAAGTTGACTGAAATTAGTATAACTCAGGAACTACTGTGTGTATGTGAAAAGAAAGCCAGGAGAAAAAACTGAATGATAAATGTGTTGTTCAACAGTTACGCTAGGTGGTTATGGTGTGGGTGTGTTTTGGGAGTGACATAGGGCTGGAGATTTGATTCAGGACAAAGGAATCAGGAAAAAAGAACAATATCATTCGATTTTGCAAAGACATGTTATACCATCTGGTTTACGCACAATTAGAAAAAATCACTTCTCAACAAGACAACGATCTAAAACACTCTTCGACATTAAGGCAAAATTATCTCGAGTCAAAAAAAAATGGAACCAAATTTTGGAAATTATGACTTGTCCATTGTAATCTCTTGATATCTTTCCCATTTATTTAGTATGGAATGAATTGGATAGGAAAGACGGAAGAGAGTACCCAGATAGTGAGCGTGAGCTTTTTCAGTGTTTGAAGAATACTTGGGAAAGTTTTCAATCTACTTTTTTTTATTGGATAGAATGCTAAGTATTTGTAAAGAAAAATTAAGGCGGTGGTTGACGAAAACAAAATACGATGTTATTGTATGATATTTTCTGATGGCTTTTTTTTCTTCTTTTTTTTTAAAGCCTTTCACCCCAAGAAAGGCGAAAGTGCCACTAGCACGCAAGGGGTTACAGAGAGTGGGAGCAAGAGTAAAGAGGCGTGATTGAGGAAAGGATGAATAGAAGGTCGGGGAATAAATCAAGGCATTTGGAGATGTCGATTGACATTGCATTTGAATATTTGGAGATTATAGCTATCAGGGAAGCAAGTAATCGGAAGGGAGTTCCACAGACTAAGTGATTATTTTTGTCAAAATAAAAGCAAATACTCTGTCGTTATTGATATTTAAAAAACATACCGAAATATCTCATTTGAAGGTGTTTTTTTTAGATAAATGCAGTGACCGAAAATTTTTTGCCCTTAGTGAATATGCATGTATATTTTTCTGTTTGACTGAATTCTTGCTGCATAATATAATAGACACACACACACACACAAACAAACAAACAAAAAACAGGCGTGCGCGCGCGCGCACACAAACAAACCCACACACATGTGGGTGTGTGTGTTATTGAAACTCGAATCTGGGGGTCATTTCCTCAATCTCTCACTTACCTGATCCACAATGACGTCACAAACACGTGTTGCATTGACCCCCCCCCCCCGACTTCTGACAAGACGAACGAGAAGAGAAACACCTGGGCCAGTTCGAAAACTATCTCTGACTTCATCTTACCTTTTCTTTTCTTTTTTTTTTTTTCAAATTTTTTTTTTTTTACTTTTATTCATTCTCCAACTACCCACTTTCTTGATTGTTTTTCTTATTTTTCTTTTCTTATCTACCTTTATTCAACACCAACAATCTTAACCCTAACCCTAACCCATCACCAAATGATCGCTTTCTTCTATCGTCTCTCGTGACAAACACCTTTCCTGGTTTTTCTACGAAATAATAGCAACGTGTCTACGTTTCGCACATTGTTTTCAGCGCCGGTTCAGACAATCAACTTCCGTGATTTGATATTTACACAGGTCAGCTATGAATGGAACAAAAACAAATGGCAAAGAGTAAGCCGGGAAGAATGTGCTACGCCAGCCCTTCAATTAGATATGTCCAGTTTTGTCTACCTAGTTTACTATTAATATTATTATTATTATTTTTACAACGTTTTCGAATACCGAATATTGCCTTCAGTAACTCTTTCGAAGAGAAGGTAATAAAATGTTCACTTCCTGTCCAACATGGGTGGTGCAGGAAATTATTTTAATAACATTTTACTAAATTTAACTTAAAACGTTGCAATGACAAATGAGAGTTGGAAGATCTTATTGCGCCAGTGTTGCATGTAAACTGAGTACGTCCCTCTGATAAAAAAATTGTTTTCGAATGAGGATGTATCATTGGACTCGAAATCCGATCTCTGGTATGCTTTGGGAATAAACAACTACTTGGAATTGGTTAGAAGAAAGGAGACGAGGAGATAAGAAGAACGAGGGGAAGAGAGAGGAAGGGAGAGGGAGAGAGAGGAAGACAGAGAAAGAAGAGAGAGAGGAAGAGAGAGTAAGGAAAAAAAGAGGGAAGGAGAGGGAGAGAAAGGAAGAGAGAGAAAGGAAGAGAGAGGAAGAGAGAAAGAAAGTGTGGTGTATATATATATATATATATATATATATATATATATTATTTTATTTAAAAATATGATTCCAACTCGCGACATAAGAGGTCTCATGTTTCAAAACAAGAGCCGAAAACTTCAATATAATTATTTGAATTAAATTGAATTAAAATAAGCTCTGTTCCATCTTCAAGGGAAATTTTTTTGGGAATAACTTATTTCTGAAATTTACGTGTTTTAATAGCATATTCATTATTGAAATCAAAATTTCCATG